CATATTTGATTGTGATTGTATTTGTTGCTGTTGAGTTATTTGTATAGCTGTTCGCTGCTGTAAAGGCGGTGGCGAATTTGTGTTCGCTGAAGTTCGTTGTAACCTATTCAAAGTTATCGAAGAATTAGATTCACTTTCAATTAAGTTATCTCCATTTGAATTTTGATATTCAATTCTTAGAGAATCATCCATGAAATCATTATCATCCGAGTATTTATTTATCGTTGATGAATTGGAAGAAGCATTATTATTATTATTGTTGTTGTTATTATTATTATTATTACTATTGTTATTAATCAGAGATGATTTTTGTGAATGTTGAGAATTATTTTGTTGAAATTCTAACATTTGTAAAACCAGAGGAAATGGAATTGAAATATGACTACTATCAGTATTTCCATTAGCGATCATCATAATACATTCTAATTCTTTTACAATCTCTTTAAGAGAACCATAATTAGCGTTTTCTGCAGCGGATCTTAATTCTTCCAAAGTATCATTTAGAGATTTCTTTGCACATTGAGCATGCTCAGCAGAACCATTCATGATGACCATTTCCATTATAGCAGATTGTAATATTCCATAGATTGGGAATAAAAAGTTACAAAATGCTTTCTTATCAAAATGCCTCGTTGTCTTTGCAATATCTGTAATAGTGGTCGCGGCAGTAAGACAAGTTTTAATTGGACCTTGGTTTGCCTCAATTTTTGGATTATCATAAGCCTGAGTCAAATAAGGTTGATGTAATAAAATAATACAAGTGTGAAACAGAATATTAATATATCCTGCATAAACAGAGAACCTTGCCAATTGGAATAAGCTTTTAGTATCGGTGTTTGGCAAATATTGATATTGTAATTCGTCAGGTAATTCCTTCAACCATTTTGCTAATGCAGCTCTGATTTGTCTCAACATACTCTTTTGATCCATTGCATGACCCATCCAATTTGATTGTGCTGCCTTTGGTTGTGATGAATAGCCAAATTTCCAAATTTCTCCAATTATATGTGATAGCTTTATGAAGGAAATAAAGAAATTTCGAGTTGGTGGATCAAATGAGGGTAATGATGGTAATTGAACGTTTACGTTTATATTGTCGATCGAGTATGGCTTTCCCATTAAAAATGAAATCCATCTGTCACAACAGTAAACACAGTAAAAAACTCTACGTCTTTCTTCATCTTCCTCGGGTATCAAATTAGAAGAATCGTTACGACCAAGGTGCAACGTATGTGACATTTGAACTTTTTTTTTTTAAAAAAAAAAAAAATATATATATAAAAATATATATATATATTTTAATATTTAATATTGATTATATTGATTATAGAATCTCATGCTGTTTAAACTTTAAATCTTACCAGCCATGCCTAAAAACATAAAACTGCTATCTATGCGTGATAAACTAGTCTCTGAGTGAGAAAGCAATAATAATGCTTGCACGGTTTCCAACCGAGGCTTATCGTACATCGTATCTAGTAGTTTCTTTTAACGCGTCAACGTAAACGATCACATGCAGTAAGATAAATTGAAATCGCGCGTCAGAACCTGGTTAAAATTAATTCTGATTTAAAATAATCTTAATATCTAACCTTTGCAGTATCAAAGAAAACGCCACCAGGCTTATCCTGAGTTTTTTGGATGGAAGGGTCATCTGAATACCTTGCGGCAGCCAAAGCTAAAGTAGAAGCGACCAATAATTGAGAGTGTTTGTTATTTTTATTACGCCAGTGATCGATAAACTTCCGACGATCCAATATTGGAATTGTGGTGTTAAAATGATTAAAATAATCTTGCATTAATTGCTGACATAAATCATTTGATGGAGGATATATTTTGGTGGGTTTGATAGCAGGTATTGAAGATGGTACTTTCTGCGGTAAAGAATTACTTATCGATTTTGTATTATTTGTTGAGGGGGATAAAGTTACAGGTAAATCTAAGGGATTCAAAGACATTTTAGAGAGTTTATGAACCAATTCCACGATACTATTTGGGTATGTGTGATTTAACAATTGACACAATGGAGACGCGATCTTTTCTGATTTATTTTGCGTCGGTTCATTAAGAGTTGGCATATCTAATACAATCGAATTTGAGTTCGAATGTTGCGAATCATTTTTTTGTGTCACTATATTATCATAACATTTTAAAGAAGAAAGAGAATTGATAATAATTGTAGCAGCTTCTTTGGCTTGTTGACTTTTATTTGGAATTATAGCATCGATTAATAAATCAATCCCTTTTTCAAGGCGGTGAATATCTTGTTCCGTCAGTAGCGGAGTCTCGGATTCTTTTTGTTGTTGTTGTTGTTGTTGTTGAACTTGTGGGGATTGAATTAATTCTCCAGGAACCAATTGATGCTGGTGTTGATTTGGACTCTGATACATTTGACGTAATTGAGATTGTTGATTAAATTGTTGTAAATTTTGTTGGAGATTCTGAAGGTCTTGTTGCTGTTGTGTTTGTTCAAGTTCGGAAAAGCGTGTACGCTTACTAGGAATGGTTGAAGACATCATATTCAGATATTTAAAGAGTGGGAGAAATTAAATTTCTTACTTTTTATTGAGTAAAAAGTAAACGCAAGGATTAAATAATAAAAAAAAAAAATTAAATAAATAAATATTTAATTTAAAAATAATAAAAGAATTAAATTTTTTTTTTTAAAAAAAAAAAAAGAAAGTATTTGAAAAGAGATAAAGTTTGATAAAAACTTGCCCTTGTAATAGGAATATGTTTCTTTTAAAAAGAACAAGTTTAAATTAAATACAAAGTAAATTTTTTTTTAAATTATTGAATTTATTTTTTTTTTTTTTTTTTTTTTGAGGAAAAAGGTTTACATGAAAAAGTTTTTTTCGATTTTTTAATTTTAATATATATATAAATAAAGTTTACTGTTACAGTAAAAAAAAGGAGGGATAATTTATTATTTTTTTTTTTTTTATTATTTTTAATGATTTTTCAGTGGACAACAACAAACCTTTGGTGTAACATTACTACATTACTACATTAACTGTATAAATACTTTATTTAGAAAAAAAAGTGAAATTATGAGGAAAAGGTGGCTTTAAAAAAAAAAAAATTCAGCCTTTACACTGCCAATGATCAAAAGAAAAATCGGCGGAGATTCACTAATTCGAAAAATTTTGATTAAAGTAATCTTGCCATAAACGACAATCTTCAAATCAAGTAATACATTTTTAAATAATAATAGATTTGTCAAAAGCAAAATAGACAACGATCTACGACTGAGTGTAATTATTAAATATTATATAACTTTTTATCATATCATAATTTTAGTGGTTGGTTCATTTACATTGTAGTGCAATGTAGGGGATATGGCATGCGGCCCGTTATTATTTGGTTTTCGCCAAGATAAATTCTCATTAACTGGATCGGAATCCGTATGAGATTGAATCATGGTTTCTTTTATTCTTTTGTAACATTGATTGGTCGACAAAAGAAACTTTAAAACTTTCTTTCAAAGATTTTGTTTGCAAACAAATAGCGTTTATATTATACACATTTTTTATGAATTAATTCTCCCTTTATTCAATTACGAAAAAAAATATATATATATATAAAAATAATAAAGTAACCGTGAATGTCGATCGTCACCGGACGTGCTTAATTTCTCAACAATTTTAATCGGGAATTTCCCAATTTTCACAGTTCCATTTTCTGTATTATTGGTATTTGTTTGTGTAAAATTTTTGCGAGAGGATATTTCAAAATAAATGTTGTTATCCAATTCTATATTTCCACAATTTATCAAATTGTAGGAAAATTGAACTTCAATACGAACCCTTGAAGAAAAGTTTTTATTTTGGGAAGTTTAGATGTATAAATAAAGGAAATCGAATAGGATTGGATCATCTCAAGAAACACAAAAAAAATAAATAAATGACATATATATTCAGAAATTCCGATTGTCAGTTTCACCAAATAGGTGCTCGGATGCTACTTTTATAGCATTTTTACAAGTTCATTATAATTTTTTTTTAATATTCCCCCATCTATTCCTTCTTGAATGGTACTCAGACGCCAATATAAAAATATATATTACGACATGAGAATTCATTTTTTATATTTTGGCGATTTGGAACATTTCCAAGAGGAAACACATTTAATACATTATGCAATTTTAAGCAAACCGTGTTTTCTTTTAGAGATCAAATGATTTTAAATTCTGATATTTTGTTTGTGAAATTTGTGGTTGGTGATGTGAATTCGAATCGAATCATCTTAAATAAATATATGCTTTGAACTCAATACTACAGTATATTAAGTAACTCAGCAAAAAAAGCATGAAGAATTTTAAAATTTACAATTTCTTGGTACGGTATTACAATGACTATCAATTTTCTTAATCGATAGAAAGACGCGGTGAATTGAAGATATACCTTTAGAAATAACAATAACAATAATTTTTTTATATCATGTCAAAAAAATCGATGGTTGTTTTTAAAAAAATGCAATTTCTTTCCTTGAGCAAAAATTTTTGATAAGATCCCAAATCACATTCGTCGTTATTATTTTTCTTTCCAAGCTTGTCAGATTCATGAGGTTACTTTTCTTGGAAAATTCATTATCCATTTCAAAAAGAAATTATACAATAATATGTATTATGTGTGTCGTGTATCAAATTTGCGCTATGTAATTGAGGATCAATGATAACTAAAAGAACAACCTTGTTGTCAATACGGACATACAGATCGAATATAACTAAATCTTTCTTATATTAGTATACGATAATCAACAAATCGCAATCATTTAAATCATTAAGCTATTTTTTTTTTTTTTCGATATTCATGAAAATCTACCTCCTCAACATAAGGTTTTTTGTTTACGTCTATCCAAAAAAAAAATTAAAAAAAAAAAAAATATTTTGTAAATAAATGGATAATTTCTTGTTTTTAAATTTTTTGGTGGGAAAATATTTACTGCGCTCAGATTACTTCAATCTGTTACAAATCAATAATCTAAACATAAATATATACTGCATAACAATTTGAAATAAAGACGGTCTGGAACCGACTGATGAAATCTTTTACTTTTTTGGAAGGAAATTTTTTTGCCGCAAAAACTCCGCAATGTTTCATGCATCCTTTTTCTTGGCGAATAAAAATATTTGACGTCCAAATTTATTTAAAAAATTTTCAAATGAGTTTTAAATTAGGGTTGGGCAATGCTTGCATAAAATTCCCAATCTTTCTGTGGAATTAATCCTGTGCCTGCTTTTTCGAGGCTTGTTTATTTTTAATTCCTTCTATAGCATTAAGTAACGTTATCTATTATATCATTAATTGTCGTGTGACTATATAATCAAATCATCTGATTTCAATTCTAAATCGGTCCAGATTGACCGAAAATTGAATTGGTTGTTAACGCGACAGGTGAGCAGCAAATTTTGAAATACATAATGAATTCCTTTAGATTCTCTCACAAATGCATATTACATGCGAAAGATAATATTTTTTTTAGGATCCTATTAATAAACTGAATAAAGTATATTATTCAATTTCAGATTTCAAAAAAAAAAAAGTTTTATCAAAAGATTCAGGCAAATTTTTAATTTTTTAAATTATACATTTATATAAATATTATTAATAATGATTCAATTTATTTCAATTAAATGATTAAATGATTAAATCATTTAATTGAATAGCATTTAACTAAATGATAATCCTAATTTTTTAATTGAGTTTTATTTAATTTAATCAAATAATCATTAAAATAAAATTTAAATTTAAATTTAATTAATTTATTATATTAATATTTAAAAAAATTAATAATTATAAATAAAACTTATAAATCAATTATAATTTAAAAAAAAATGTATTTATTTAATTATTCAATTTATTTAAATTATCATATTTATTTGAAACAATTAAATTAATAGAATATTAAAATTATAAATTAAAATAAATCCTTATATTAAATATAATACATTTTAATTATCATTTGTATTTTAAATATTATAATTGATTTTAATCATCATAATGCATTTTAACTATCATAATGTATTTTAACTTTTAATTTTAGTAGAATGTCCTAGAACATTTTACTTATGTAAGACTAATATGCCTAAGACGTTATAATCAATTAATTAATACATTATAAAGATGGGGTCTGTTTTCTCTCTCTATAACCTATTAGTTAGTAAATTTAGATGAGGTATACGCCTATTTGATTGCCTTTTTAGATGTCAAAGTGGTGTAAAAAAGGTAACAGGTTGTGCAATAAAATAATGTAAATTTGCAATAATTAATTTCAGCTAACATTATAACATAATTTCTGATCAATCTTTAGAACACATAATCTGAAGGATCACTATGATAATGATCTGGTAGTGCTTAATATTCTCTGGAACTATCATAGAACAGGCAGAAAACCAGAGTATTTCTATTAGTTCACCAATTTTAGGTTAGCTTGAATGTCAAAATATTATATTTAATGTAAACCCAAAATTAGAGAATAGTGTTAATTAAATTTAAATAAATTTTTACTATATCTACTGCACTTATTGCATCAGTCAGAGAATTTAATATTTAAATGTAAATATATTGCTAATATATAATTAATGTATACTGATTTTATAATAAATAAAATTAGAAATAAGTTTACTGCGTTTTACTGCACTTGAGTTTCAGCCTATCTGTTTATCAAAAGTATGTATTTTACGATCTAATTATTGCCTATTTGTTGCTAGTATAAGTATGCTAATTTCACATCCTGAAGTTTAAATCATTAAAGCATCATATTGTATTTTTAGTTAATTAGAGAATCAGAGGTATGATAGACATTATTATGACTGATCCATTTGTTTATCAGGAAATGCATTATCTTATGATCTTACTATTGCCTATTTGTTACCAGTATATATATGCTGATTTTGTGTTTCATTTTTTGAAATATTAGAGCACATTCATATTTTTAGCATATTTTTAAACATATTAGGATGCGAAATAAGACAGATTTTTGTTATCCCTAGTGTTCTTAAAGAAATTTTTTAAAGAACACTCTCTAGAAATAACCTTTATATCTGTTTTAAAGATTTAAAATTGATTAGTTATATTTCTTTATCTCTGTCTCTAGTATCCCTAGTATTTTTAGTAAAAATAAAGTTCTAGAAAAAAATTCAAAACTTTTCTATACTATATATACTATTATATATGATCATATATGACCATTTTTTATGCTATGCTAAATAAAAAAAAGCTAGGAGATTTAATTTTTTCTAAGGACCCTAAGAACACTAGGGACACTTATCTAAAAGTCTTCTTAGAATTCTAAAAGCATTAAAAAGCTTACTTTTAACATCTCTAGAAGTATTATTTATATTATTTTCTAGGAATAAATTTCTAAGGCTAGCACTCTATTGTATCAGATATTTTTATTCTATTGAGAGCCTATTCCAATGCTTACAATGTTTATCCATTTTAAAGCATCTTATTTAACTTCTTCTAGTGATAATATATGAATAGCATTTCTAGGCATACTAATTACAAAATTC